AGCAGGGATTTGCGGCAATGCTTGATTATTTTTATATCACCGTCCGTGAGTTTTACATTTAGCTGTGCCAGTTGTATGGTTCATTTAATATGCTTTCTGTAATGGAAGGATAAAAATCACAATGTCAAATTGGATGAAAGTGGATTTGTTCTTGTTGTCTATTGATTTAAACCACTCTATGACGGCTTTGGTGTTCTTCCACTGGTTGAGACTTAATTTTTCCTTAGGTTGGTGTTGATATTTTCTAATATCTTCTTACTAATTTTTCCTATCTCGCTCTTCGCCGGGTTAATTAGTCTGAATGTTGGTTTTTCTAAATGAAGCTGGCTTTGTGGTCCTTTGCCGTGATGAAAGCATGTTGTTCAAGGCCTAGTTTGTTTACTCTTTCGTCTATATTCAATTTGGTGGCTATATTTTGGCTTCTTGGTTTATAATGTTTATTGTGTTCGTGTTTGTCTTTTTGTATAGTTGTGTAATTTTGTTGGTTAAGAGTTGATTGTAGGCTGTAGGTTCCGACAACTCTCTTATATCCGGGTTACACTGTAATATTTTCCTTCAAAATTGCATTTCTGGTAATAATTTTTTTTTCAAAAAAGTATTGCAGGGACTCTAACAGGTGCTACCACCCCGGGTCAAGGTGGACCTGGGAACACCAGCAATTAAGAGGTGGTTCCACGCTCATCAAAACCTCCTGATAAGAGTCCTTGCTGCTGGATATAGTTTATCGTCTTACCCAGGGCGCGGATGTAGTTTAACGTCTTACCCAGGACGGTGGGCCACCTTGATTTTCAGCGGATGCATTTGATGTTAGTACGCTACCAAAGTATGGAAATTTGTCCAGTTTATTGATGGTGATTTTGACTCCAGGTGATACTTGATATCCCGGTCGTGGTTGGAGCATGACATTGGTTTTTGCTATGTCGATGGTGAGTTCGTAGAGCATGTGCGCTCTGGAGAAGTTGTCCATAGAGTTCGGGAGGTCTCCGAGTTCATGGACTAGGATGCAGTTGTCATCGGTCTGTTGCGTTTGTTGTTCGAGTCCTAGCCCAGGGGTGAACTATGATGAGGTAATTAAGAAGGAATTTTCCCTGTGATAAAAAGTAGAGATTCCACGGCAGTTTTCACAAACGCTTCAATCATTTGGGGGATCTCAGGATCTTTCTGGTCGAACCAGTCCTGCTGGCGTTTTTTTCGTCTGTGCGATGTTTTCCTCTGCAGCTTTGCACATGATCGCCCAAAGGGATTTTCACTCTTCTGTTATTTGGGGGGGGGCAGAGGTTAGCATGGAAAGATGATGCTCGACGGCCGCTGCGTATTCCATGACTATTAATATATCTCATTTTCCCACTTATGATCGCCCTGTCTTAGGGAATCGTTTCATAGTCCACATGGCTTTCTTTGTTAAAATTAGGTCTCATTTTTCCGTAAGAATATGGGAGTTTTCGGCGAATAGTATTAATGTCATTTTTCCCGTATTCAGCGAGGGCAGACTTGATTCAGTTAACGAGGTCTTTTTCAGTGGATGCATTTGATATTAGAACACTACCAAGGTATAGAAATTGTTCAACATTCTCTAGGTCCAATGGTGATTTTGACTTCAGGTCGTTGGAGCAGGACCTTGGTTTTGCCACGTTGATGATGAACCCGTAGGGCATATGCGCTCTGGAGAAATTGTCCACTGAGTTCTGGAGGTCTTCGAGTTCATGGGCCATTTGACATTGGCGTATTGGAGCTCTGTGACTCGTGCGTTTGTTGTTCGAGGCCTGGAACGGAGGGGAGCTATAAAGAAAGAGGTCGCAATCGGTGCGGTATCAAAGGTCGTTTCCAGGGTTGTCGTCTAAAATCTCCTGAGACGTTGCCACCAAGTAGTTGGAGAAAAAGATAGGAGCAAGTAAGCACCTTTGTTTCAGCGCCCTTTGTGACGGGGAAAGGAGTCCGGAATACCGGTTTTATGTTGGACACGACCCATCAGTCTGTCGTGTAGAGCTCGGAGGAGCGCCGTGAATTACTCGGGGCATCAATAAGGTCTGGGGACTTGTCTTGGAACACTATCAATCTCTTCAAGATTTTTAAAAATTATCATTCCCAGATTTTTCTCACGGAGAGCATCATATCGATGGTTCCTCTGTTGGCTCTGAAACCATATTGACTCTCAAAGTCAGGAGGCGATTAAGAAGGATCCTGACAATGGTCATCTCTGCGTTGGACAGGAGAGAGATTCCACGCTAGTTTCCACAAACGCTTCTAACTCCTTTCTTGAAGATGGTGAGGATATTCGCATCGTTCCTTTTCCCAGATCCGTAAGAGGAGTAAGATTATTGTTTTGGAAAGGTAATCCAGGATGCTTGATTAGTTGCAGGGGCGGGAAGAATCAGATCAGATGAACTTGAGCTCAGCTTCAAAATCATGATAGGTAGGGTTTCAGGCATCCATATATAAAGTGTGTTTGGGTGACAGTAATTTTCAGACAAGTTTTATTAAAGCATAGCGACAAACTTAGTCTGACCAACTTTTTAATTTTTTTCTAACTTCAGACTAAGTTGTTATATGTCGGAATTAAGTCATGTACAGAGTGGGTCGTCCAAGAGTCATGTACAGAGTGGGTCGTCCCAGAGTCATGTACAGAGTGGGTCGTCCTAGAGTCATGTACAGAGAGGGTCGTCCCAGAGTCATGTGCAGAGAGGGTCGTCCCAGAGTCATGTGCGGAGAGGGTCGTCCCAGAGTCATGTGCGGAGAGGGTCGTCCCAGAGTCATGTGCAGAGAGGGTCGTCCAAGAGTCATGTACAGAGTGGGTTCTGCCAATATATTGTAGCTCAAATGGCATTTGTTGTGGCGTACTGCTTTTATAGCAACACTTCATTTACATACAATGCTACACATATCTATAAAAGGATAAATATGACAATACAAAACAGGGATTAAACAAAATGAAAACAAATTTTAGAAACTATTCATATTAACTTAAAACAACCAATAATTAACAAAATTCCTTATAATTTAGGAACAAGTAATTTGAAATGGATTTAAATTCCACAAAACATTCATAACGTATTTGTGTGACATTACAATTGTTTAAATTCAAAAATTAGGTCTCGCTCACGTGACATGGTATACATTCAAAAATTCAAAAATAACAAACGCAACAAGTTTAAAATTTGAACTAACAAGAATGGACTTTGTGTGTTGACAATGACTGAAATCAGTTGAGTGGAGCTCGCACATACGCTCCATCGCTAAAGAATCTGGAAAAATAGTGGGTTCCCTGTAGATCCCCAACATGTATCTGACTCCTTCTATCCTCTGCCTTTCCAAAAGCCTGATCAGGCCGAAAATGAACGTCCTGGGTAAGACAATAAACTACATCCAACAGCAAGGCCTCTGATCAGGAGGTTTTGAGGAGCGTAGAACCACTTCTTAATTTCTGTTGTTCCCAGGTCCACCTTAACACGGGGTGGTAACACCTGTTAGGGTCCTAACGATGGGCAAATAGTTAACCCCTAAACTGGAGTCAAAGCACTGTTAAAGTGTAAAAATAGGTTTAATACCAGCAATGATTTTTTTAGGAAAAATTATTACCAGCAATACGTTTTCAAGGAAAAAAATATTATCAACAATACATTTTTGTAAATAATTATTACTAGCAATATATTTTGGAAGTACAAAATATTACCAGCAATACATTTTGGAAGAAAAAATATATTAATAAAAATGCATTTTTGAAGGAAAAAGTATTACTAGCAATACGTTTTTGAATAAAATATTACCAGTAATAAAACTCTTGTCTGCATTAAATAGCTCATTGAGGTTGATATGCCTTAAAAGAAAATGAATCAATCCACGGAATACATATTCTATTCATACGAACCTATCCTAAAAAATTTGCCGGTATTAAATAACCCATTGCGTTTGATATGCCTTAAAAGAAAATGAATCAATTCAAAAAATACATGTTCTATTCATGCGAACCTAACCTAAAAATCTTGTCGGCATTAAATAACCCATTGAGGTTGATATGCCTTAAAAGAAAATGAATCAATCCAAGGAATACATATTCTATTCATACGAACCTATCCTAAAAATTTTGCCAGTATTAAATAACCCATTGCGTTTGATATGCCTTAAAAGAAAATGAACCAATTCAAAAAATACATGTTCTATTCATACGAACCTATCCTAAAAACCTTGTCGGCATTAAATAACCCATTCAGATTGATATGCCGTAAAACAAAATAAACCAAAAAATGAAGCACTGCTGCCATATATGGACAGCAGCTGCCAGTCTTCACTTTCCAGTCTCGATAAAAAGAGTCTCTGCGTCCTTGTGGTTAATAAATTGTTTTCCACCCTACAACCCCTTTCCCACAGATGAAACATCGAAAGTGTCTAGCTGCTCTATTGCTATTTCCATGGAAAATGTTCAGACGAACTACATTCTTTAGTTCTTAGTGGTCCTAACCTTCACGACAAAAACGCGCCATGTCACGCACATTGTAGCGAGTCGCCCTCATTTCAATCGTATTCTAGTGGTGAGATGTAAGTTCCACTCGAACCGACTCTCAAGTGGATGCTTCCCCGATCAATATAACCTTAACCTGATAGATAGATAGATAGATAGATATGAAAAATAAATAAGAAAAATAGATAAATATATAGATAGATAGATCTGAATAGATAGATATGAACATAGATAAACAAACAAATAGATGGCTAGATATATAGATAGATATGTAAGAAATTAATAGATAAATGTTTTCCGCTTGCAGGTTATTTAAAGCCACAAAATATTTTCACATTTTAAGAATTCTTTTTGAGATAATAATGATTTCCTGATACAAGCCTTACTAATTAATATGTAGATGGTGGAGAGAAGAGGAGGGTTCATACCTTTCCCAATGGTATTTGCGTGTAAGTGAATATAACGAACCCAACCAGAAATTGAACGCGGCTTTACGATTTTCAAGTCGTAGCCGTTATCCATTACACCACCCACACATCCAAGTTTACAGCACTTAGTATTCCTAATCGGTCACTCATCTAGCTACTGACCAGACTCGACGGTGCTTAACTTCGGTTGTTGTACGAAAACCGGTGTTTTAAATATTATATGGCCGTAGGCCAACAAAGAATTGGTTCTCCCGATATTGTTAATATTTTGACGCACAGGAAAACTGGGAGTAAAAAAAAATGAACGACAATAGAAAACGTATTGAATGTCTATCTGTAGCAACCTATGGCGGAACTAACTTTGACTTACAGAAGCTGCAGGCTCGACACTTTATTAAATTTGATTGATTTCTATAAATAATTGCAAGGGACTCTGTATTTATTAATATATTACACTGCCGACAAATATGAAGAATATCACGGAAAAGAATACGTGATCAACGATAGTTTTAAAGACAATAGAAATATTATGAGGAAAGTGGACCTAGAGAATTTAACACTCAGAAGGTATATTAAAGGCAAGAGAAGCAATGAGAAACAACGAGTAATCCACTTAATAAGTTTGGGTAAATGGTAATGGTACTATTAGCCCTTTCCCTATAAGGAAACATTTAGCATTCATTGATCGAGACAGCCAGTATATCTTTTGGTTAAAAGTCATAAAATCTTTCTCGTAAAACAATTTTTTTCAGGAAAATAGGTTTTTCAAATTCAATAGCTGTTATCGATCATTCTAGTATTGATGGGGATTTTTTAACCTTGTTTAAAGTGTAGAATATAGAATGTCAGCCTCTTGATGGTGTCATTATTTTCTCTTCGAGTTACATGTGCTATCCATTTTAGTTGTTGCCGTTGTTGGAAGTCCTCAAGGAATGTGGTTTCTGTTATTTGGTACAGTTCTTTGTGATTCTGTAGTACCAATCTACAGTGTTTGAAGAAGGATGATCTTTGCCAGTATTTATTTGTTCAAAGTCTTTTCTCACCATTGATCTTAGGAAGCGCTTGTATACAGCTGACAGTTTAGCTATTTCTGAACGGGTTTGGCGCCATTATTAGTATCCATATGAAAATTTCGATATAAAGAGACTATTTAAGAACATGACTCGAAGTTTCAGAAGTGATAAGACATTATTTACATTATTCGGACTATTGTCCTCATCTTTGTCGCCATATTTATCACAACGTTTCGGCCGTTGTACGCTCCGGCCTTCTTCAGGTGGTTGGAATTTCGAACTGAACCCTTTTTTTCGCTCACAGGGGTTGACTGTTCTAGTTCCACGTGCCATGTTTCATGGATGTCAGTTATCAGTTATCTCCTTCAATTTCCCTCTGAAAGTTCTCCACTGCCTTAACCGGGTAATTGAACTCACACTCTTTGGGTCCTGTCACTGGATCTAACCAACGCCTTTATCCACTGTGCGATGTGTCCTTGAGGATAATAAGAGTTCAAATGTTACCTAGAGTAGAAAAATACAGGAGGTTGTGGAGAGCCATGATTGCCCACGTCCTGAAGGGACTTGGAACATAAGAGAAAAGAAAGCTGTCTGGACAATACTTTTAAATGTCATGGATATTATCTATGAATTGTCAATGCCATGTCCATTCAGGGCGTAGGCGGTCATGGCTCTCCACAGATTCCTTTTTTATTGTCTGTGAATTTCCAATGCTATATCTTTTATTTCTGCGTCCATAACTGGTGGTGTTGTCTGTAGCAGTCAGTCGTATTCTTTGAGGTCGTCGAAATGTTAGCCCCTCTTTTTGATGCGAGTGAAACATAGAAAAGAGTACTGAAGTGTTACGTGATGACTGACCTGCTATATGGCAGTGTATGCTGGACAATCTCTTCAAAGATGAAGAAGAGATTTAAAGCAACAGAAATGTATGCTACGGCTACCGTGGACCGAATATGTGAGCACCGGCGAAATTTTAGAGAAAATAGAAACAAAAATGACACTTATACTTAACATCAGGAAGAAATAGCTGAGATTTCTGGCGTACATAATGAGAAGTGAGGTGGAGGGCTTGGAGAATTTTATGCTCACATGACAGATTGAAGGCAAGAGAAATAAAAGAAACAGCGACGTGTCCAGCATTTTCAGTTAGAGGGGTGTGTTCCTCAGTAAAAATCTCAATTCAAAATTTTAAATTCTGTGATCATATATATTAGGTTACAGAAATGAGTAGGGTGTGTTCATATATGCGCAGTACTTAGTGAAAAGCGCTCAATTATCAAAGAAATAAAATTTGGTTTAATCCACCATGCAACAAAACCGTTGGAACAAAAATCGGCAGGACATTCCTAAATCAAATAAAAAAATACTTCCCTGTAACAAACCCCTTATCAAAAATATTTAACAAAATCACCGTAAAAGTTAGCTATAGCTGCACTAAGAACATAACACAAATAATAAAAAGCCATATCAAAAAAATAATAACTTGCAATAGCGTAATCAAAGACTCCCCAATGCAGTTGCAGAGACAAAGCTATATGCCCACTACAAGGAAATTGCTTACAAACGAACATAATATACGAAGCTAAGGCAAACGCCAACAATACCACAATGTACTACACTGGCTCCACGGAAGGAACAACCAAGAAAAGAAAATACACCCACGACCTCTCATTCTCCAACAGCACCACACTATCCACATACATATGACAACTAAAAGACAGAAACATCATACCAAAAATAAGCTAGGAAATCATGAAAACCGCACCTACCTACAACATATCAAAGAGATGTCTACTTTGTCTACACGAAAAAGTGGCAATAATCTCCCACACTCAACAAAAGAAATAACTAAACCAAAGATCGGAAAAAATTTCAAAATGCTGACATGAAGATAAATATCTACTATCACAGTTCATGCCAAAGTATAATAACTAAAACAAAACTGAACGCTGCCTGGAATGAAATTAAAGGAAAAAAAATGGTAGAACATTAAAAGGCAAGAAAACCTAAACCACCAAAATATAACCACCAACACCTACCATTAACATTACTTCCACTGTTACCAACATTACCACGACATCAACAAACACTACCACCACTATAACAATTAACACAGGCCAATAAAACAATCAGCACCGTTACCTACACTCCTACAACAATCACTTCATAACTATCTCCACTACCATTAGTACTGCTTTTTAACACTGCCATTTTGAGCGCCTCTTCGATTTTGTATAAATTTCAAGGATGAGTTTGAACGCTCCACAAATTGGCAGACACACCGCTAAGTGCGAAAATTTGAAAAACATTCATAATGTTCGGAAACATATTGGTGCGAGACATTTAGGTTTTGCAGAGTTTGAGAGATTGTTTCTCGTTTAAAAGCAGCTTTGTTCCACATGGTTTTCCAGATGGTAACTTCTTGGTTCAGAAGTTCTTTGGTCACATCCAAAATCAATTCTGATCCACTCATGAAGCTATTCAACGGTATCATCCAAAGGTTCTCAGGTAGAAGATTGATAGAAATATTTTCTCACAAATTTTTTTTTTTGGGGGGTGGGGGCGATAACTCGTCCGAAAGACGTTCACCGCAGTTTGTGCTGATTACTGATCAACGTGTTTTTTTGTTTTTTTGCTTTTTTTTTTTAACACTGATGTCCCGTCCTGGGTATGACCATAAACTACATCCGCGCCCTGGGTAAGACGATAAACTAGGTCCAACAACAAGGCCTCTGATCAGGAGGTTTTGAGGAGTGTGGAACCACTTGTTAATAGTTGGTGTTCCCAAGTCCACCCTGACCCGGGGTGGGAGCACCTGTAGGGCCTAAAGTTAGATTCCCAGCTATGGGCAAATAGTTAACCCCAAACTGTGGGTAAAAACATTATGAAAGTGTAAAATAGGTTTTAATACCAGAAATACTTTGTAAAAAATTATTACCAGCAATAAATTTTTGAAGAGAAAAAAAACTGTTACCAAAATACGTTTAAAAAAAAAAAAAAATAACAGAAATATATTTTTGAAAAAACAAAAATATTATTTTGGCAACTTGTTTTAGGCATTAAATAACCCATTGATGTTGATATGCCGTAAAACAAACCAAACCATTACTTTGATATCCACCATGTTCAAGACTCATACCAACTTTGAGGTAAAAAATTACAGGGTAAAAATAGATTTGGAACTAGAATTATTCAGTTATCCAGGGATTGTCAATTTTTTTTTCCGTCATCGCCCACTTTCACATTAAATATTAAAAAGCAAACAGTGATGTGTAAATTATTTTGATAGGCACTTTTACTGCCTTGATAAATTCGTGATAGCCAATGTGATAAGAAATACAAACAATTTTATATTCTGTTGTTCTAAAAATTCCAATCTGATTTATATCCGAAAAAAGTTATTTATGCAGAAGAAGTATTTAAATATCTGTCTTATTCACCTTCAATATGTCTCTATTTCTGAGATGTGGTATTGTAACTATTTACAATATTTACATTGTTTGGTCTGTTGTCCTCATCTTTATTGCCATATTCATTTCAACATCTGTCTCTATTTCTCAGATGATATTGTAACTATTTACACTATTTACATTGTTTATTGTTGTCCTCATCTTTATTGCCATATTCACCTTCAACATCTGTCTCTATTTCTCAGATGAGGTATTGTAACTATTTACATTATTTACATTGTTTGGACTGTTGTCCTCATCTTTATTACCATATTCACCTTCAACATCTGTCTCTATTTCTCAGATGAGGTATTGTAACTATTTACACTATTTACATTGTTTGGACTATTGTCCTCATCTTTTATTGCCATATTCACCTTCAACATCTGTCTCTATTTCTCAGATGAGGTATTGTAACTATTTACACTATTTACATTGTTTGGACTGTTGTCCTCATCTTTATTTTCCATATTCACCTTCAACATCTGTCTCTATTTCTCAGATGAGGTATTGTAACTATTTACACTATTTACATTGTTTGGACTGTTGTCCTCATCTTTATTAAATCCATATTCACCTTCAACATCTGTCTCTATTTCTCAGATGAGGTATTGTAACTATTTACACTATTTACATTGTTCAGACTGTTGTCCTCATCTTTATTGCCATATTCACCTTCAACATCTGTCTCTATTTCTCAGATGAGGTATTGTAACTATTTACACTATTTACATTGTTTGGACTGTTGTCCTCATCTTTATTGCCATA